GTTCGAGGAAAGCTTGAGGTAAAGAAGGAGCATCTGTATCACATGCTGAAGTGAGACCTGCCATTGTGTAGATCAACCACCAAGAACATCTTAAAATCAATGAAATAAAGAAAAAAAGAAAAGGACTCCAGAGCACTCAAAGCTTTGCTTTTGCCTGACTTACAGGGTTCATTGCTGAGTACCTTCTGATTTAAGAGTACGACAATCCAGAGGGTTACATTAAACTATCTGAAACAGACATAGCTGTATGGCATCGTGTACTTAGTGACAGAAGACCTAAAACTCATGTGACTGCAAAATACATATATTCAAAATCTTCATGAAGGACTGTTTATCTGCAAAACTCACAATTGTTCACGATGACTAAGGTCTTACACTAAAGCTTGGTTGTTCTTCTAGAGGAAACCATTGACGTATTCCTCTTTCTTTTCTACCTGAGATGGTAACCAGCGAGCGTGGGTGCGACCCTGCGGGGCCGGGGGCCGGCACCAGGCCTTACCTGGAGGATGGACACGGTCTGGGAGAAGTGGTGCTGCTCCATGGTGGAGGTGGAATACAGGGCTGCCAGCGGGTGATCGAACTTCTGCAGGTAGCTGTTACTGAAGCCCCTGTGGTCCAGGTCGTGGCACAGACATGCTATCAGCAGCCCTTTGCGCTGAAGAAAACAATAGACGCACCAGGTTCAAACAAAGACAGGGAAGGAGAGCACACTCGGCGCTTACCATGAACGTCACATTAACCTCTGCCATCAACAGGGCTCCCCAACATCTCATTATGAACCTTTGACTCCAGACAAACTCCCTTCTTTTTAACCTCTTTCTTCTTTTTTCTGCTCTGTAACTTGACAGTCAAATTACTGTTGGGTTTTCCTGATCAGCTCTGGGAAAGGTGCTGGAGGTATAAGATCAAAGGTGTAAAGCAAAGTTCCGAAAGGTTAGGGATGAAATGAACGTGCTCCAGGAAAGGCTGGTTTGATTCCTTCATGCAAAGCTTTATTCAGTGTCACATTCTAACACTAGCGTGTTATTATTACTCTAACAATAACAACTAAGTTATACAGCATGTGAAAAAATGGCAAATTAGAGAAGAAAAAACTGAGCAGGCTAAGGAGGATGCGAGGGAGGCAGGCCGAGTATCACGTGAAGTGGTTGGATAAGCCTGGCAGGAAAGGTACGGCCTGCAGGAGGCAGGCAGGAGGGCCTGGAGGAGAGCGTCCTGGGCAGAGTGCACAGGTGAATGCTTTCAGGTGAGGGTGCCTGAGAGTCCGAGGCTCAGGGAGGTGGCCAGTGAGCCTGCCACAGGGGGACTGCGGGGAGATGGGGTCAGAGAAGAGCTGTTGGGGAGGGAGGCTGCACACCCCATAGGCCTCATATTCCGGTGAACCAAGAAAACTATCAGAGTTTCAAGCAGGCAGTGACATCATCTGACTTCATGTTTAAATGGCCATTCTGGCAACTGTACTGGGGATAGACTCTAGGAGAGTAAGGGACACGTGTTAGGAGGCTTTCGAGGTAATTCAGGCTGAGTTTGGGGCGGGATAGTAAGAACAGAGGCCATGAGATGTGATTAAGGCCTGGACCTATTTGCAGGTGGAGACAGCAGGATTTTCTGACAGATTGGACGTGGAAGAAAGGAGGGAAAGTGAAGGAAGGTGATAGAGGGAAGGGGAAGGATATGTTCTCTACACCCTGCTGTTTCTTCATTCTGATTAAGCAGAACCAATTTTTCCTGCAAGCTAATTGTGAGGGTCCCTGTTCAGATCATTAATGCATCTAAAATGACAAAATGTACGTCATCAATTGTGTGTTTGGTATTAGTAAGATAACTGAATTAGTTACGTGCTGGGTATCATTAAGGCTTTTGGGTTATTAACACATCTTATGCTGCTGAGCCGACCACAGATAATTGAACAACATCTCCTGTACAACAGATAAAGCTGTCCTGCACATCTTTCCATTAGTTTTACCTAATTTTTTTTGACATAGCTTTGAATACTTTTGTTGAAAGTATGACAGAATCATGCCTCTGAAAATAACTTAAAAAATAATAACCTCTGCTAAGTATCTTCCTTTAACAAAATCAGTGAATAATTTCTAATAGCTCTATCACAGATTAAATATCTTCTTCATAAAAATATTCAAGCATTTCCATATGCTATTTTGGGATTATTTTTAGCCAACATGACCTGAGTTAGCCAACATGACCTGAGTTTTTAGAAAAATATAATAATATGATTCATTCCAGAAGCGAATTAGGAATTTCAATCAGAGTCAAGATATAGCAACAAAAATTTTCTCACTTAACTTTAAACTTTCCATTTTCAAATACAAATTTCAATGTATAATTTCTATATT